TATAGTTAAAAGTAGAGCAAAGCGAAGTTATGTGATAGAAACCATTGTAGTTTGAACATAATATACCAAAGGATCATTCTAGGGGGGATTAGCTAACATTAAATTAAGCGTGTAAGTAGATGCTGGCTGTCTACATCGCCAATAATAAGGTTGTGTAAGAAAACGACACCCAGCATCGATCTACGGGTTGCCAAGCTAATCACTAATCATTTCGAATATTTACACAAAGTGATGAAAAACTCAGCCATACGCCTCGGAATTTAACTCTTGTCGAAAATTTGTCTGCATATTGCTTGGCAACGGCGATCGATCATCAGGGTAAGTCAAAGCTACAATAGCTCTTGAATTTTGGTAGTCGTTGGAAGCTGCAGTCGTAAAATTGACTTGCGGCAACTGTTGCTTGCTTCTATTGAAATCCAATTAACAGTAATCGACTGCTAGTTATTTTTAATTGTTGCTTTCGACCAGCAGAGTAACCAATTTTATGTTTGGTTCTTTTAGATGTCATAAGTCTCTCAATTAAATCTAACAAATGCAACGATGATAATTTGTATATGTATAAAAGTAATTATTTATTTTTATTTATCAGTAACCATCAATATTTGAATTTAGCTTAATCTAATTAATAAGTAGATATTGGGGGAGTCTTTTTTCTACCGCTTCTCTTGCTTGATGCTCCTGAGCCTCTGCCGTACCGTTGCCGCAAACCAGGAGAGGTTAGTCCAACCAGGAAATCTTGTGGAGGTCATGCTAGAGAATCAAGCTTCGTCTAGCATTTTGTAGCCCGTGCTCCGTTGCGTCTATGGCTTTCTTTGTCGCTCTCTCCACTTCCTCCCGCTGCTAGGTTACTACCACCAACGCTATGTCGTCTGAAAAGCAACCAGCTGGGAACTGCAGCCTCAGTCAGAAGACTTCACGGATTTAAAACGCTCGTGACGACAATGGAACTGAGCTGCTAGTGGTCACGCTGAGGCAAGCCTCAGCCGATTGCAAAAATCTTATCCCAAAGGCAGACAGCTGAAGACGCTTCGTGACACGGATTTTGGGTGCGTCCGCGTTGTTGGCGTGTTGGTCACCTGTTGTGCGCGTGTGCTTCTCCCAGTTGCACCGATTGCCGGAGTGGAGGAGGTCCCACCGGCCCTGGAGAAAGTAAAGGTTGATGCTTGATGCAAACGCACTCCTGGCATGAACGGCATCACTGACACTATGTGCAAAGCACACCTCAGAATAGCTCTATATACCCGATGCATCCAGTCGAGTTACTTCCCCCGAGAATGGAAGTGTCCACGTGTATTGGCGCTAATTGTCGCCGCAAGCCCGACGAGATACGTGGTCGTCGATTTCAAAGGAGCGTTCGACAATGTCGAATGGAGTGCTGCACTGCCCGACTCGCCGACTTGGGCTGCCAAGAGTTGAGCTTGTGGCAAAGCTTCTTCTCAGAAAAGAGTGAAAAGATCCGAAGCAGTTCTCCTCCTGCTTCTCCGTAGCAGTCCGAAGCGGACGACCTGCTGGTCCTTGTCGAGGACGAATCCCAAGGAATCCCGACGACGAGCGAAGCTGATCTATTCCATTTCCATTTCCACCAGCAAGACTGTAATAATGCTGCTAGAGGGGTCCCTCGCGCGTACCCCGCGTGTGAGATCTGCCGGATGAAGTCTCCCATACGTGCGCAGCTACAGGTACCTGGGCATCACGATCAGCGAACGCATGATTTTCTTCATACATATCGCATCGCTGCCCGAGCGAATGACCGGAGTCGTGAGATCATTGGCACTTGTGATGCCAGTTGACTGGGGTTTCCGTCCTCGCGCCTCGGGCCATTTATGTTGCACTCATGGTGCTTGTACACCATGACTGTGCACTATTCGGTACCTCGGTGCGGTATGTCATTACGACGCGGCAAGTTGTAGCCAGGAGGCGACTTCTTGCTTGCCAGAGGCTGAACCTTAAAAGATTCCTTCTGCTATGCCGAAAAGTGTCAACGCTGGAGCTTGCTGGAGCCCCGCCTCTTGACTTAGCTGCTATGCAAAAGAAAGCATCGAAGTTGAAAGGGTTGAATGGCTCTACGGTGAGGATCTTACAGGTGGGATGTCGTTGGCTTACCCGGTCGGGTGACCAACAAGTTCATCCCAGACGTCTAGTTCATCTATTAGAATCCAAACTTTAGATTATCGATGCGCGTTGGCTTTTTTGTTGACAGGGCATGGGTCGTTCAATGCATTTCTGCATAGACGAGCTCTCAGCAGTACCGCCGCATGCTCATGTGATTATCCTTATAAGGGTTGGGAGCACATTTTATGTGTTTGTCCCCTTTATGCAGACTTGCGAGACCTCGATGGACTCTCAGTTTGCGGAACCTGAACGTTTGGAAGGATTCTGGAGAGACAGGACCAGGAAACTTCTGGAGTTTGCTGAGGAGGTGTCCCAGAGGAGGGGTCTTTAGGCCCATTTTTCACGCCCAATTGATAGCGGCGAAAATTTCTGCCACAGTTTGTCGTAGGAGACAACTAACATGGCATCGCCCTATCCGAGCTTGTCCGAGCTAAAGGGGTGGGTCACCGAAACCACAAAATTCGGTGCCACGGGTTGAATAGTGTCCAAGCTCTACCATTGAGGTAGGCCCCCTTTGGGAGTATCGTGGTGGCTGTGGTTGATACCCCAATAGCTGGTAGAATCCGAGGATTCGACATGGAGTTGCGTTATACATCTCGGGTGCTGTGACCCATAGAACAGTTGAGATGATAGATACACTTCGTCTCTTATCCAGAGAGACTATGCTGCCCAGCAACCACATATTCGAAAGGTACCAGGGTAATCGCTATGTACACAGTTCTTCTAGTCTGGAGCGCTGGCAGGCGTACCATCCGTGCTCATAGTAGGTATATTTGAGTGCTGTGGTTGTAATTCCATCAGTGTGGAACACGCCACGTTAAACGAGTTCGGAGAGAACCGAGACACGCCTGTTTTTCAAAGGGATCTTCCTACCTTTGCTCCCTTTCGGATGAAATATAACGGAGCCATTTAATTTTTAAATGAGCCGATTGAGCGGGGTCTTTCATATTTTAAGTCTTTGCCGCCTTGCCTTCGATTTAAGTGGGGTCCTGATAAGGGTGTTTTTTTTTGAAGGATTGATAATGAGGCACTTATTATGTAGTATAAAGTTGTTATTTTGTAGCAATGTAAGGATTTATCCTTTGGCCAAATAAAAAAATAAAATGTCATTATGAAAGGTGGGACACCCTGTAATATTACTCCCACTAGGGAAATACAATATGTTAGAATGACCCCTGAATAATTGCATCGTCCGACAGAAAATAAATTTTTAACGAAAGCAATAATTAAAAAAAAAAGGATTTCCGAAGTTCTTAGACACAAAATTTGAGATTTTATCAAACATCAACTAAATTGATTCAAGGGTCCTTTTGAAGTAAAACAGGTTATAGAGAGAGACAGTTACATTTGAGAGTCCTTAAACAATAAAAGAATCTACATATATGCACATATTGACTTAAGAAAATAACCAGAAGGACAAGTTCCACAGTAGCTTCAGAAGAAAAGAAAAAATACTGACTAAAATGATAAGTCAATTTCCAGTAAGCAGTTAGCCCTTTGAATGGTGTTTTTTTTTAGGTTTCTACACTTTCAAGAGTTCAAAATAATTAAAAAATTTTTATCGCTCGTAAAATCTTATTTTAATAAGTAGTTAATATTATTACGTTTGTTTTTTGGGTTTTCGCATTAGAATTCAATACTTCTTTATAAATTTAAATAACTAGCTTAATATAAATTAATTAAAAGTATAAAAAACAAGTGTATTTTAATATTATTTATTCTCTACAAAACTACAAAACATCATAAAAATTAGTTTACATGCCATGTAAAGGGTTCAAACGGTCCCATGTATTACAAACATTGGTTTATTTTGTTGATATTATATTAATAAGAGATAAACTATCGAATGAAAACAAAATGTTTACTTACATACACGTGGAATCTGCGGTGCGTTTCGTGCATCGCTACACATTACACAAATGCGTCGCGACACTGTCACCAAGTATGATTATAAGAATTATTCCTCAGTCGCCATTATATTAGAAGGTTAGGATTTTCTACAGTTCCTACATTTGGCGATTAAATACATTTTTCAATTATGTATTTTACAATACAATACATTGAACAATCTATTATGGGTTAAAGAATTAAAGAGAATTATATTAAAGAATATGAGTCGTTTTTTAACTTTTTAAATTTTTTTATTATATGTATTGAAATAAATCTTATAACTCCTTCATCTACCGGTAATTTTTCGTTATTATTTTTTATTATACCCTTGAAGGGAGTATTATAGTTTTGGTCAAAAGTTTGCAAAAGTGAAATCTTAAAAAACTTAAGAAACTTTGATCTTTAATAAATAAAACAAATTTTTAAATGCTTTTTAAATTTTTTTATAGAGGTTTGGTAGTTAAGAACACTATTTTATGAGAAAATCAACACTAGTGAAAACAAAAACTATGTTGTCAAAAGTCTAATACAATCATTTTCAATGATATTTTTACAAAAGTTTAAGTTTGCATCATTCCATTTCAACGGTACCACAGAATGGGATATAGAAGCAGTAGGCACCTACCATAGGCAAGAAAAATATTGATAGAATTTGCAGCTACATATATTGTGTAAAATAAAATATTTACAACAAATCAATTAAGCTTTAAAATAGGATACCTTATTAAAGGTGATGGCAATTGAGAATGACAGATGGGAATTTAAAAAAGATGAATAAAATTAGCTCTTAACATTAAAAATTCTTTAGCATTTATCTTTTAAGGACAAATTTAAAAAAAAAATTTGGAAATATATTATTTGCCTCGATATTGATCAACCCAATTATTTTTTAGCAAAACAAAATGCGATATATTTTATACACATATGGGTTAATTATATAAGAACCCCGACTGAAAATGAAACGAAATGCCTACCACCATGTATGTTGCATGTAGTATAGTACACGCGGTCATACACGATGGTTTTTTTTGGTGCAACTCTGCTCCGGCACTTTAGGCACAAGTCGGCGACGGCACTTCACGTTGCGGAATCCGCCATTTTAACTCAAAATTCTGTAACCCTAGCTCGCTTGGCAAGTGGTCTGAACAGAGGTCAGTTGCAATTTGGAATTCAATTTGTTCGCGATTATTCGAGAGTGTCGAAGATGAGTACTTTACCTAGGGTGTTTTTCGATATGACGGCCGATGGCGAGCCCCTGGGTCGGATTATCATGGAGGTAAGTTCAACCACTTCAATTATTGGAATGTTACCTTATTTAAATTTAACAATTTTAAATACCTGTTCATAAAAACACGTGATTTTTAAAAAGTATTAAAAAAAATTAGAGACTGAAAATTGAATGTGTATACATATATGTACATATGTAAGCATTATACATATGTATATGTATGTATGAACATGTTTTATTCTAGTTTAAAATTTTGTTTTAACATATAAAGCTGAAAGCCATTAGTAACTATTGCCCCTATATATTGACAATATATACATATATTAAGGTGCAAAATTTTTAAATCAATTAACACAAAATATATATGCATATATGTATATACATACATTCTAAGGTAGCGCTTTGCCCATGTGCATACATTCTTACATACATACATGCACATATTCATATCTATGGAGAAGTGTACCGGTCAATATCTTATTAAAGTTTAAGCGTTTAAGAAAATTAAGTTGGCGATACTCAAAAGTGTGCATGATGTTCTGAACTGCATTGGAACCTGCATTAAATTTAATTTTTTAAAAATTTTACCGGTATTAATATATGAGTAGATAAGGGTTCAGAATTTTATTCACATATACTCTCTACCAACGAATAATCTAATAATTGTGTATATAAGTATGCATATGTATATTTACATAAATTAACTGCGATGAGTTACATTTACCGTACATGTACATACATTTTTACGCCAAGATACAATTCTTCATAACATTTTATTTTTATTAGTCCCATATAAATAATTTCTTTTGTGCAATTCCTTTACTCAACGACACGGTATGACATTAAATGCGTTTTTGTTAGGTAACAGTTTCTAGTAGTAAATTGTAGTATGTAGTCCGTATAAAATAATCGCTAATTTTGTAACATTTCATATTCCCCATTTTTTTTCCAGCTGCGCTCCGACGTCGTACCAAAAACTGCCGAAAACTTCCGCGCGTTGTGCACTGGCGAGAAGGGATTTGGCTATAAAGGTTCCATTTTCCATCGCGTCATCCCGAACTTCATGTGCCAGGGCGGTGACTTCACCAATCATAACGGCACTGGAGGCAAGTCCATCTACGGCAACAAGTTCCCCGATGAGAACTTCCAGCTGAAGCATACTGGTTCTGGTATCCTGTCTATGGCTAATGCCGGCGCCAACACCAACGGATCCCAATTTTTCATTTGTACTGTGAAGACCGCTTGGTTGGACAACAAACACGTAGTTTTCGGAGAGGTCGTCGAAGGTTTGGACATTGTCAAAAAAATTGAGTCGTACGGATCCCAGTCTGGAAAGACCTCTAAGAAGATTATGGTGGCTAACAGTGGTTCTCTATAAGATGATTATCCATTCAAACCATCTCACAAGATAAAAACCTGTTAAGACAAAAACCCTTTGCATTTTCTCAAATAATTTTTTTTTGAACAAATCACTGTAATATTATGAAATACAATATAAAAATATTTTCAATAGACATGTTTAAATATACCATCGGGTTATTGGCCAATAAATTTTTTTTTGGGTCCAGCATATAATCAAATTTAAATTTTCCGTAAAAAACTTTCGATCTCGTAGGTCAAAAATTGGTGGCAGCCCTGCAAGATCTGAATAAAGCGTAGTCAAACATTGGCTATAAATTTCCATTTTTTAACAATGCACCTTCACGTAAAGGTATAGCAAAAGGTTTTCGTCCCAAACTGGCATATACATACATATGTTTTCAAGTAAGATACAGACTTGCAACGTGTTGTATCACGTACCGATATTGAAATTGTATTTTTGTCTTAAAAAAGCAAATAAATGGTATTAGAGCAAGAAATATTTATTTTATTGGAAGAATATTTCGGCACTACTAAGGGTGGCGTAAAGAAGATTGTACTCATGCTCATACGCATTCACGTGCCGTTCAGTAATCGCCACGGTTTGTAGCAACTTTTCGTCGACGTGGCCTGCTGATACTTTCTGCCCTTCCACTATACTGGTCACTTTGGAGCGCTCCGCATATAGTTGGTTAGCAGTGCTTTTGCTCCAACTAAGCTCGTGAAAATCGCCAAGCTGGTTAAGCATGCATAAAATATAGATCAAGCCGATTGCAAATCCATCTTCAAACACTGAGGAATTTGTTTGATCTTTCTTATGGACCTTCAATTTCTCCTTGACCCTGTATTCTATATAGTTGGTGATCACTGCTGGTGTAATGAGAAAGAAGGTTTTCAAATGATGATTGTTCGGGTTGCACAGGAACGGCTTGAATCCTAAAAGCAGAAGCTAAATATTCCATTAAAATATATCTTTAGAACACAATTTAATACTTGACACATACCTTGAAGTAGTTCGTGCAGTCAGAGTAGCACTCCTTCATGTGACCCACGTTTTTGCCATATTCCCCGATTGAATTTTCAGTCACTGTGTGCATCCCTCTAGGGCCCGCGGAATTAAAATTATTTTCATATATTGACATATAAGATCGGCTTCTGTAATTCGAATTTTTGCTTCCAGCCTGAAGAAGGCGCACATATCCTACGGCATTGCCTTATGACAGAAAATATAATTTTAATTTGAAATACAAATAGGTTAAAATAATTCTTGCAGATGCATGTAAAAAGGTAGGATTCCACATTTATTCAAAATATTCTTAGAATATTTGGCAAAAAACTTAAAATGGTATCATATCACCTGCAGAGAAGGATACTGATTTTAAATTTTATTATTTTTAAAATAATAGGCACTTAGTGGTAGAGTACTAGTTACCCAAAATTATAATACCTTCTGCAAGGGTATAAATACTGTCGGCGCACTGACAGTGTGAGCACTCTCAAATTTTAGAATTTTAGAAGCCTCTTATTTACTCCCATGTTCACTCATTTGATAACCCAAACTTAAAAATCAAAATGTTCCCACTGAGAACATTTTTTTAAGAATTTGGGTTGGAACAAGTTTTCTTCACAGAGAATATAGATAGGGAAGCGTATATAAGTTAACCAAGCAGCGGCAATGTCCGATTATTTAAGAGCTCGCTCTGGCCAAACTGCTGACATAGCGTCTAGCCGAAAGCCCATGCGTCTAGCCGGAAGCCCAGCGTCTGCGGCATCACCGACTGCAGGGAGGGATAACAAACAACAACATTATTATACCAAACCCATTTATATTATTTTATATATGTCCATTTGTTTAAGGGGTTATATACCTTCTTTGTCTAAGAAAAAGAGCAAAGTTCGGATTTTTTTTTAGGTATGTAGCAATTATTTAATTACAGGGATGTAATGTAATTTTACATGGATTTACAGGGATGTAACGTAATTTAAATTTTTTGATAGTACACTTTATTAACAATGTTTGTGCAAAATTTGGTGGAAAAATATTAAATAGTTTTTAAAGGCGTGGCTGTTTCCCTTAGAGGCTTTTTTTTAGAGCCTTTCGGTGACAGTTCCCCAGGTCAACTTAAACCATAAAAGTAAAAAAATTTCATTAGTTTAGTGTATTTCCTTGTGCTTGAACGATCGATTTTTAATTTTTTTTTTTATTCATACGTTTTATGCTAAAAATGAACTTTTTGGTCTCTATAAATTTCACTAAAAAATTCATTTCGGCGACAGCGTGAGTTTTTGCGTGAGTAGTCGATCGTTCCAGCACAGAAGAATTTTATTATGAACATTTAAAAAAAAATTTGAAGTAAATCGGTTCAGTAGTTTTCCGCCAATCCATGTCACCGCAAAGTCATTTTTCAAGAAACACTATTTCGAGATATTCGCGTTCAAAGTTTCAAGTTCAGTGCAAGGCCGCGACAAGGCACGCGGTTAGGAGCGCTGTAACTTTTTTTCTACTGCTCCAATCTCTATGAAAATTTGGGAAAATTTTCTTAAGGGGATTTTCTTCAAGATAAAGCAAAAACAAATTTTCGATTTTTATACCCTTGCAGAGGGTATTATAATTTTGGTCAAAAGTGTGCAACGCAGTGAAGGAGACATCTCCGACCCTATAAAGTATATATATTCTTGATCAGGATCACCTCCTGAGTTGATATGAGCATGTCCGTCTGTCTGTTTCTACGCGAACTAGTCTCTCAGTTTTGAAGCTATCGTCTTGAAACTTTGCACACACCCTTCTTTTCTTTGCACGCAGTATATAAGTCGGAACGGCCCGGATCGGCCGACTATATCCTATAGCTGCCATACAACTGATTGATCGGAAATGGTATAACTTTGGTGTTTTTAGAGTTAGAGAGTTCAAATTTGACACAAGAGCTATTTTTGGCAAAATAATACGACGTGCCAAATTTTATAAGGATCGGTCGACTATATCCTATAGCTGCCATATAACTGAACGATCGAAAATGACCCAACTTTCGTGTTTTTGAAGATAGAAAGCTGGAATTTAATACAGATTCTATTTTTGGTCAGTTGATCCAACCTATCGAATTTCATAAGGATCGGCCGACTATATCCTATAGCTGCCATATAACTGAACGATCGGAAATGACCCAACGTTCGTGTTTTTGAAGATAGAAAGCTGGAACTTGGTACAGATTCTATTCTATATTCCGGTTTTAACTGCAAGGGTATATCAACTTCGGCTCCGCTCGAAGTTAGCTTTCCTTTCTTGTTTGAAAATAAAAAAGGTATATAACCCCTTAAGAAATGATGCTAGAAAAGCTTTCTTTAAAATAAAATACACTATTTTAGTGACCATTCAAACTTTTAAATTAACGAAAAATGAAATCAAAAACTACGTTTTTTTCGCTCTGCTCTCAAAGTTTTTGCTGCTACGCATACACTTAAATTTGAAACGTGCACGTTTTGCACCACCCCCGAAAACGAAAATCGGATCGAAGCAGACGAAGAAATTCTGCCAGCATTCTGCCTTCTTCATAAAAATATAAGATTATATCGAATAAATATTTAAGGGTAACAATTTTCAATACCAACATTTAAACGACAGCTGCAAAAACTTCAAGATAGTCTATTCATTAGTTTTTGAGTTATTGTGCCTGAAGAATGACTGTTATGTTACCAAGCGTTTTCTGTAACTGCAAAATATGTCCAAAATTTCCGTCAAATAATAAGTCCGCCACTTTAAGGGTGTAGTCTCATGTTCCGGCCTACTTTTAGAAGTTATTTAAACAAAAATTGTTTGTAATAAAAATTAATGCGATCGTTTCAATTTTCAAATATGTTTTTATAGCCGTTTTTTATTAAATTTATTCTTGTGTAGTTTAATACACTTTATAGCATGCCAAAATATGCTTCTACAAAAAGTGTAGGTCTCTGGCGCAGGTGATTTCGACTGCTAGTCATCCGAGTTGTTTAATCGGAACTTGTTTATAAAAATAATATGTGAGGGAAATACGTAGAACTCACGACTTGGGCTACTTAGCTATGAGACGGGGCATAGCAAACTACGAGCAAATAAAATAACCCCCAACGAGCCCGAGCTGCAAAATATCTACGTGTGTTCCCTACGCCCATACTTATGAGAACTATTTGAATTGTACCGCCTAAAGATATTATCGCTTTGTTAAGTACTCGTTCTTGTTACTCGCTGCGTCGCAGTTTCGAATGAAAGAAGAGAAGGAGCAGATAGAAACTAGTAATAAATGAACTTCCATTGAATTCGGTTGATGCGTTTCTACTGGGACCATAACATAGTTGCTGGCCTAAAACAGGCATTTTCGCAGTTTGCCATTTGGAGCAAACACGAGTCATCCGAAACAAAAAATTAGAATAGATTATTGTTTTGTAAGCTTATGGCTCTGTCCCGTACTAGAATGAAATATTTTTCTCAATAAATAACAAAATGGCGAACTCACTTCTTAGAACATTTCCAAATTTCAGCTAGATCGGTACCATCGAATTTTGTGAATCACCTGCGCCGCACACAAAAATGTCGTTCCGAGAAAAACGCGTTTAAAGTTTAGACGCTACCGAGTAACTCATACTATTCGGTGTAGGCGCGCTCTCGATTATGGGCTGTATCTATGTCATTATTTGATATTTTTATTAAAAACTTCAACAGTACATTCTCAATAAACAGTACTTTCAAAATATTTGAAAAAAAATATCGATTTTTTCAACCTCACACATGAGACTACACCCTTAAATATTTTTGTGTTTGTTAACAAATATAATCGACGGACGGCGAGAGAATAACAATAATTGAACCCGGCTCAACGCTTTACACTTCCAGCGGAGCGGCCGAGACCACACCGAGAGAGTTTGAAAGCGAGAAACGGTCCCGAAAAAGTTGGCAAATGCAGAGGGCCAATCGGCTGAAAGGGCGAGGGAGGGAATAATAGTGCAGGTCGAAAGCTCACAAATGCATTGAAGTTCAATAATGCAGGTTAATAGGTGTTTCCCCCGGTGTTTCAAATAAACTGTGTACAAAAAAAAAAATGCTCCGCGATATTTTAAAGAAATCGCAAAGATGTGGAGCCTGAGAAATGATCAGTGATAAATTACGCAGTGCGACAAAAAACAAAAACTGGAGGAACTTTTGAAGAGACCTAGTAGGAATTGTTTATTAGGTCGAATATAGTATAAAACCGTGTTTGAAATTTTTCTAACACTCTCAAATCTTGATTTATTTAGAAAATACGGTTTTTCGGGACTTTTTTGCTCTTAAAAATTCCTAAGCACTAATTTCAATTTCATTACAAAATTGAGAAAACTGTTGAAGTTATAACGCTTTTCCCAAAAAAAATCAGTCCAATCTTGCTATCGTTCCGGAGTAACAGTGTGCCCTTCCATTTCGCTTATTCCTTTCTTTTACACACTTTTACTCCGGAGCGCTAGTAAAATTGCACTGACTTGTTTTGGGAAAAGCGTTATAACTTGAACAATTCTTACAATTATACCCTTGCAGAGGGTATTATAATTTTGTCCATAATTGTGCAACGCAGTGAAGGAGACATCTCCGACCCCATAAAGTATATATATTCTTGATCAGTATCACCTCCTGAGTTTATATAAGCATGTCCGTCTGTCCGTTCGTCCGTCTGTCCGTGTGTCTGTCCGTCTGTCTGTTTCTACGCAAACTAGTCTCTCAGTTTTAAAGCTATCGACTTAAAACTTTGCACACACCCTTCTTTCTTTTGCACGCAGTATATAAGTCGGAACGACCGGGATCGGCCGACTATATCCTATAGCTGCCATATAACTGATTGATCGGAAATTGTATAACTTTTGTGTTTTTAGAGTTAGAGAGTTCAAATTTTACACGAGAGCTATTTTTGGGAAACTAATACGACACGCAAAATTGCATAAGGATCGGCCGACTATATCCCATAGCTGCCATATAACTGAATGATCGGAAATGGTTTTTGGTAGAAATACCAACTTTGGTACTTTTGAAGATAGAAGTTTGGGACTTTTTTTAGATTTTATATTATAATAAATTGGGTTATATTATCATATTCTCATAAGGATCGGCCAACTATATCCGATGTTTGTGATATATATCCGGTTCTAACTGCAAGGGTATATCAAGTTCGGCTCCGCCCGAAGTTAGCTTTCTTTTCTGGTTTTTAATTGCATTCT